ACAAGAGTTACAAAATTTGCAGAATAGAATAAGCCTAATATATTCCAAAGCATATATCTCAGAAGAATAAAGATGAGGATTTTTGTCCGTATTTCTGAACATATCTTAAAGGTTCATATGGTTTATAAGTTGATCAATTGTTCGATATATACTTCATACCTGACAGAATACTGATATATTAAATGAAGTCCAATATATTGTGAAACAGTTGTAATTAAAAGACGCCGACCGATCCAGTTCAAAACCTATTCTAATTCTCTGTTTATATAATCATGATGTTATTTCTTTCTACTAATTGAAGAATAACATTGTTTACAATTGAGTACTATTTTTTTTGGAATCTTCATTTGTGTATTAATTTTATCATTATGTTTCCGTCTTTATAAATTTCAATAAGTATACATCTTTGTTATCTTCCATCTGGACTAATGTATCTCTTGTGAAATTTATAAGTGTGGTATACAATTTGCTTTCTATTTATTTATCATTAACATCATAGTCTATGGGTTGCAAAACAGCTGAGGAGAATCTACGAATTCCACACAGGTTAATTCTGTTAATACTGTTCTCCTCTAACATATAGAATCATCGAAAATAATTAAAGCCTACGCTTTTGATGAACAGAAGGAGCATGACTTTGATAAAGAGGAAGACGGTGTATGTTAACTGCATTCTTCAATAGGTTTTCGAATCCCTACAGTATCCGAAGCAGACTACTACTATGTCATAGGAATCTTCCACGAATGGTAAAGTCATATATCGAATCGACCAGTAATGCAATTTCATCATTAAATTCTCAAATGATTCAAATTTGTTGAACTGACTGAGAACTTGTGTATAACATGTATGACTGACTGAATGGCAAAATCAACGTAGAACCCCGCATATAGATGCGTCGGTTCAAGTTGTCACACTTCAAAGCAGTATACAAAGAACAGATGGATAGAAAAGGATTGATATCAAAGTGAGTAAAGTTGTGTGAGAAAATAAGCAATCTGAAGATAAAGGTTAGTGCAAATATTCAAGCTTCAGAATACACTAGATTGTGATCTGTTTTCAACCTTGTCATCACGAGTCCTATACCACTGATTACTTTTGTCTCAAAGACTACAACCAAACAGTCTAAATCCTACTACACGGTTCAGACCACCGTTAGGGAATTTATCGACTGGTGCCACGTTTTGACCTGGTCACTCTGGACCATCTTCCAATTTTTATTCATTCTTAGTTTATTTTAGCCCGTCAGAAACTCAAAAATAATAAAAAGAATCTGTTCATTTTGAAAATTTATTGATTCTTTTCTGAGTTGACTAATTTTTAATAAACGAGTTTCCAAATGAGTGAACAGTTTACAACTACTGAAATCCTTCAGTAGTATAATTTGTCACTTAGTATAAAAGGTGACTATTCAAATAAGTTAAAAGTTTTCAGTGGTAATTATTATTAATTTTATTGTTTATCCCTTGGGTTCCTGGTGGAACATAGGGCTTCAGTAGCACGTCTCCATTCCACTCTCCCCTCTACAATCTTCTCAACCTGGTCCCACGACTATCCACAAGCTCTTATTTCTTCCTCGCACAATCTCCTCCATCTCACCCTCACCCCGGACGCCCAACTCGTCGATTCCCATCTGGCTTCCACTCGAGCAATTGGCCTGGCGCGTGATGTCCCCAGTCGGCCTTCTCACTGCATACCCAATCCATCTCAACTTCCTTCCACTGCATATTTGTTGGGCGATGGGTTCTCGCCTCGTTGGTTCGTCACCAGCCAGCCAGCCAACCAGAGTTCCTTGTTGCATATTCTCATCATTCTGGCCATCTGATCTCCATCTTCAGTATCGAGCCAGCGTAGGCGGTAGTTGTTGATGAATCTCTGTAGTTTGTTGGAAATGCCTTTCGTAACGCGACAAGCCTCTCAACCATGACATAGAAGCACTGACTTGACTGACATTGGTGTTGAAAATCCGGATGTTGTTCCACATGCTGAGTGCAGTGTGGAAGATCTCCACGCTGATTTCAGGTTGATGAAAGCCTATCTTTCTGTGTTTCCGATCCTGGCTTTGATGTCTTCGTCTCTGCCACCTGTAGTCAGTGGTAATTGGTAAGTGAATGATTTTTTACGGGGTGACGATTGAAGGTGAGATGAAAATGTGGACCGTGGCCGGATTCGTACCAGTGACTACCCAGTATAAATACTAGTCTGCCAAATTACGGATATCTCAGATAGTCAAATGACAATCAATATGATGCTCCCCCTGTCTGATCCAGTTAGATTTGGATTGGGATGAGAAGTCCTAACTAGGCAGCCAGTGTGAATACGATCAAGCAGTAGTAACGCATCACGAATTCACATGGTAGTCAGACAAAACCCGCCTTGGTGATTGAAGTGAAATAAAAATCTGGTCATCAGTCGGACCTCGTAGCTCAGTTAGTAGAGCATCGGGACGGGAACCTGGTGGTCGCTAGTCCGAGTCCGGCCGCGGTCGAGATTTCCATCTCGCATTCAATCATCACCTCAGCATAAACACTAGTCTGCCAAACTGCGGCTATCTAAGATAGTCAAAATGAGGATAATTTTATCCGTGACTTAGTTTCTTTAATATTCATTGAAGTAGAGAGAATGAGATTTCAAGTCATTGAATAAACCCTTAAAGATATCCAACTCAGTATCATAATGGAACAATCTATGATGCTTAAAACTGAAAAGTGTCAACCATGAAGTTTCATTGTATTTGTACAACAACTGTGTGTGTGTACATCTTTTCTTTTATCTTAAATAATGTTAGTGGTGTATATTTTTGAGGAGTTGGAATCAGAGTTAAACCTTGTCCACCTACTCCCTCAGTGGCTTTGGTGATTCGTGACGTGAACTAATTTCTACCTTAAGTCTATTTGATGGCTAGCAGTGGGATCTAGAACGTGCGTTTCATTCTATTTTATACTCGTCAGGTCTATGGCCTAATAGATAATGCTTTGGCGTTTGAAGAGGCGGATACTGGGTTCATTCAGCTGATGAGTTTTGAATAAGACGGAACCTGCATCTTGGATTCCCCGGCTAGTTACTATCCACTGTTAAATAATGATAAAGCGCTTGGAAATTTGCTTGATGGTAGCTGGTGGCGAAATCGAGGAAGCATGGAACACCCGAACCCATCAACAACTACATCAAGAGTTGCAGCGTCACCCATTAGGCTACTAAGAGTCCAGAGTCACCACTTTTAGAATAGCTAGCCACCATATAGCAAATTTAAAAATTCTCCAGCGGATATAAAGACATACACATAGGAGGCCATTTGACAGTAAAAGACGATTGATTCGATCCGCTTTAACAATGGGAAATTACAAGTATCAATAAATTTAATAATAAACCACGTCAGCTGAACGAGGAGTGTCTTGTCTAGTTCCCTAGCGGTCTCTTACGAATAACCCTCAGGCATTCGGAACAGTGGTACGCGGTTAAAATCTCAGTGGGAATAACATCACTGGGGTGAAGGTACATCCAGGTGACGAGTCCCAAATAAGGTGAAACTCGTATCCAGGACCCAAATGCTACTGACCGTCAAGCAAATTATAGTCTCCAGGTAACATCGAGGATCCTCACAGAAGCGTGTATACTAACAAAGTTTTGTCAGTCCAATGTGATATAACAACAGGAAACCTCAAATGTCAAACAACACTGGCTTAGAAATTAGTTGGATACGAGCAATGACCAGTAATCCTGGTCTGACCAAAGTTTCGTGCTTTTCAGCTTTCGTCAACAAAGTATAACTGCAACTTTGATAGAATCAGCGCTTCATTTAAGATTGGATATCATTAAGCACCTCATCTGACGCTGTCTATTATAAGGAATATTTGTCAAATAAAGTAAATTCCAATTCCACCCCTGTCGTTATAAAAAATAATTTTAACAAGAAAAAAGAACATTATGACTAAAGGCTTGTCCCTTTGTTGATTGGTTATTCTTCACCGGATGGATAGACAAACATGTCAAAGGAGCGAGCCAACAGTGTTTGTCTGCGTTCATAAAAAAAATTCCTGCGCTAACATCTCTTCTCCTACCTCCTTCATCGTGTAAAATGAAAAATAATGATAAACAATGGAGAGAGAAAAACATCAATAATAGCGGCATTACAACTAGTAGTAGTAATAGTAGGCATATTGTATATATCCTACCCTTCCGTCATTTCTGTTTTTTTTTTGTCTACTGAAGATTTTGTCTATTTTTACAGAAAGGTGAACACTATGAACACATACACAATATACATTATGTACATGTGCGCGTGACAATAAGTGAGCGAAGAAGCGAACGAGTTTATCATTCAGTTGGAATTAAAGATTTTTGAGAGAATTTCTTCAGTGAACTGAGATATATATATATATGCGTATGTCATTCAAGTTCGCCTATCATTATTAACTTTTAATCAAAATGTCACATTCACATAACTAACATGATTATTCATATTTATTAAATCACCGCATAAATGAAAAATCAACTCTTTAACGTATTTTATATTGTCTGAAGGTATAATTTATGAGCTGACAACAGAAAGAGCAATTTATTACTACTATTGCTACTATTACTATTACCATTATTATTACTATTACTATTATTAATAGTAGTAGTAAAATAGTATAACCATTGCATATTTTACAACATTCACCGACGTGTAGTGAATGACCTATTACTACATTCATTTACAAAATATTAACATATTTTTAACCTAATGGGAAATAAATAATATTCATTTAGCATAGTAAAACAAATTCAAATGAACACATTTAACATTTCGTATACATTGTATGAAACTGGATCATTAATCATTACTTTTTTTCTTCTCTGTTATTATTGTTGTATGAGATAATAACTTATCTATCACTTTCCTTTTGTATATCTTGTTCTTGTCTTTATATACAGACATTATAATATATTATCAAAGAGAGAATATCAATTTTATTTCATGTATTCAGGTGAAAATCATGATCATGAAGAGTAGTAGATACATATATATATATATATATATATATATATATACATGGATTTTTGAAATACCTTGAATTACAGGAATAAAAGTGCATAAATAAACTATTTCTGCAGCCGATTCACACACATTCATTCATTCATTTGTATCAGCATATACCATTAACCTAATATCAATCTATTACAAGACTGATCAATAGTGTTTTTTGATATATAAAAAAAATCACAGTATACATAAACTTGATCAGATTGTGTTTTTTTTCTGGGTGAAAGAGAAGATAAAATTCTATTTGGTATAGTTATTTTCAGCCCTAATCATCAATGAGTGTTCTACTCAGTATGCAAAATTCGCAAACTATTGCTAATTTACCAAAATATATGATTGGTTCGAATTATCCTACAGGTATATCTGATTTTATCAATAGTAGGCGTAATGTTGGTAGTCGTTGTGGAGGTGGCGATGATGATGACGATGAAGACGGTGAAAGGGGGAATCATTCAACGATAACTAGCTATTCTTTACTTCAATCGGATAATGAATTTGTGAATATATCTAATGACCATAGATATGTGGATTTATATATGAGGCACACGGCGATAGCATCAACATCATTATCATCGACAATAACAGATTCAATAAATAATTTTAGTGGAAACTTTATAACACAATCTCAACATCCTCATCAACAACAAAATCATTCATCACCAACTTCTACACTATCACAAAACTCTCATCTTTCATCGGATATCAGACGTTTACCAGTGGAGTTGAATTCACAATTTCAAACTGATCAAAATAGTCAATTATTGTTATTTAAAGGTAATTCTGAAGGTGTTCTGGATATTTTAGAAACTTCCAAACAATTGGATATTGACTTGACATCAACATTCTCAAATACTATTGGTCATCAGCATCAATCATCATCTTCATCTATTTCACATCATCATCCACCTCTACAATCTAAACAACGGCATAATTTTTCTGAATATCACCAAAAAATGTTAAATTTATCTTCCAATTCAATGGATGTATATAACAATCATAATAATCATAATAATAATAGTACTACTACTAGTAGTAGTGGTAATAATAATAATAACTCAGATATAGAAAATTCATGTCTTTCAAATTATTCGCACTTTATTCAAACAAATCGAAGAAACATGGAGATTTTCGAATTTGCCGCATTAGATGAAATGAATATGGCGCACAATTCAACTTTTCAACAACAACAACAACAACTTGATGAATGCCATGATGATTTATATCAAATGTCTAATTCATCATGGAAATTTATAAATACTGAACAATCTGCTGCTATTGATAGTACTAATATTGTAAATAACAGTAGTAATAGTAATAGCTTAATTGTTAAATATCCTAATTTTACTCCAACAAGAGAAAATACTACTACAACTGATAAAATTGCTAGTAGTAATGGTAGTAATGATGAAAGAATGCATATGAATAATATTCATGCATTTAACTCATTACATCATCCTCTTCTAGGCAGTCATTTACCAACTAATCATCCACATCATTCTAATCTACCATTTGTACCAACATCAACAACAGAAACAATACCATATTATTTATCCTTAAAATCATCATTATCATCACCATCACCAATAAGAACAGCAGTACCAACAGTATCAATAAATAATCAGCATACCTTGCAAAATTCACATCAGTCGAACAAAAATGAACGTTTATTAAGTAAATATTCAAACCAGACTATAACAAATTCTATTAATAATAGTAGTAATACCAATAATAATCGTCAACCAAATTTAAATGTCATCTATCCATGGATGAAACGTGTACATTCAAAGGGTGAGTTATTTACAAGTTAAATAATTAATTTATTAACTAGTTAATTATCAGTGATTCAATGATTACCTATAATGTCATATGTTCATTGGAGGGTGACTAGACTGATAGCATCAGTTATCGAAGATAAAGGAGAAACAAAGAGGTGATCACTTATAATTTGATCATACTTGGAAGAATGTGCGCATTATATCATTTGAGTTTAAACTTACTAGAAGCATCTTGTAATCTAGTCTTTTGCAGACTTGAATTCCCAAGAGTTTCATATTTTAAAAGTTCCATGTCTCTTGTCTTCTAGATGGCTCTATTGTAGAGAACTTATCAAGTGTGATCCATTTTGGCATGTTTTTCATCTGATCTTTCTTGACAGCCACCTATCTTTTTTTTTTGAAGGTGAATCCTTCCTTTGACTTTTTGTATAAGAAAACTCAAACTGTCTAACATAACGTTTCATTAATTACTGTGCTTTGCGGTATATCCACTTTTTGTTCCGGTTTATTCTTCCCTGGATTCCTTAAAAAACAACCATGCTGTATTGTCCAGGATTCTGAAGGCTGTTAGTAAAGCTAGTGGTACACAACTAAGCATAATGATAAATGCGGTTATGGATAGATATCTGAACTCTTGTAGACATCTGGCTAAAAATATTTTATCTGATGACAAACATCCTCTGGATCTGCACTTCTCCCCCATGTATGTCCACAGAGAAGACAAGAAGCAAATGTATTAAACTTAATGCATATACAACTATATAGAAGAGTTCAATCATACAACTTTATTTAGCTTGTGTATTGTGTGAAGGAAATCATGTTAGATAGCGTCTTACCAATCAATTTTGCAATAGCAAACCATCATCATATCCCTGAAGTCATTGGACAATTCAACAATCCTGTTATTCCTTATTATGTATTGCTTAACAGCGACATTGTTGAAGAATGTGATACAGCGGGTAAACTTATGCAACACCACATGAGAATTCTGCAGTGTAAACAAAACTATGGTTCGGAATGACGCAGAAATATTATTATCTTGTCATATAGTACAGCTATTTATTCATACTTGTAATTCACCGTTGTTATATTCGATGAAACTGATCAACTTCAGTTAGTATATGGACTCTCTTATGCGGGTACCTCGATATTACCTGAATATTCATTGTTACAATTTGTATAGTGGTAGCTAATAGTGGAGTCCAGGGTGCATGTTTTACCCTATTTGTCACTTGTCAGCTGAATGTATTAACAAATAATAGTGATAACTAATATCCGCAGCACAATAGGTGGCTCAATGGGAACACCATAACTAACTGGAGTGCAAATATATCCAGTTGATAAGTCCGAAATAGAAGGAAACGCGTTTCCTGGATCCCACTGCTGTGCTAGCCACTATTAATAATCTAATTCATTTGATATATCAATGAACGACAAGTTTCTGCTTGTCAAACACATCTTTTTTGTATATAATAACACAGTGAAGAGTACATGGTTCGTGATAAAGTGAGAAATCTCTAAATTACTGTTTTTCTCCTCTTTTCTAAGTTTTTTCTATACTCCACTTGTTGTTTTTCTCCCTTTCATGTTGATTGTTTTGATAAGTATCTGATTCGTCATGATGATGACGGTTTAATTTCCGTTTTTTTTCCAATGATGATATTTCTATCCAAAAGAATGGATGATGTGTAAGCATATAGTCAGCATAAACCCATGTGGAAGTGTGATAAGCTTCTGTACGTGCTTTTGTTAATTTTATAGCGATTTAACTAAAATGATGGCTAATTTCTTTGTAAACAAGATTTATTAGGATCATCGAAAATTTTTCTCAATAAAAAACCTCATTTCTGTTGTAGCCTATTTGACAGCTAGCAGCGGAACTAAGAAATCCCGTTTCGTCCTATTTCGGACTAGTCAGATGGGTGTATCCGCACTCCAAAGGGTGATGTTGTCCCCACCAGGACTCGAACCCGAGATCGATCGCATCAAATCCCAAAGGGTTATACGCTAGACAGGTACATCTAGCTGGCGAGCTCGAAATAGGACAAAACACGCATCCTAGAATCCACTGCTAGTCATTTAATAGACTACGATATGATGAATACCCTTGCAGTGGTGCCAAAACATCCACACAGCAGCCCATCTACCAACAAAAGTCGAGCAATTCGACCCAGTATGGCGAAGAGGAATTACTAGTGTCGATAAGCAAAAACTCATTTCTGTTTAACTATGTAATTCATATTTTGCAATTCATAGATCTAATCAAAGTCAATAGTCAGCAGTGGGAATCAGAGAACACCTTTAAATCAATGTGAAACTTTTCAGCTTCCAATATGAGCTCGGCTCAGAGCTCATCGCTTTAAACGACACATGTTATCTTTTGAGTAGGTTGCTTGTGACAGGAAGTTATAAGATTTTATGGTTATTTTGGTTAAGTAACCTGGTGGAAAATATTGTGATGTTTAATGCCAGCAGTCAAGCCAGTCGGTCATCCTCATCATGGGACGTTATGTTACAGCATTTCGGTCCAAATTGCCACATCCTGCATAAGCTTACCATACACGAATGCCACTAGATTAAGGATAAAGAAATAGACAAAAAAGCAATCAAAAGTAGTGGAAAAACATTAGAAGGACGTAAAACAGTATTGAAATTCGGTATAGAGATTAAAATGAAGACGGGATATGCTTACATCATCGCCAATCAGATCAGTTTTAAGTGATATCGCCTAAATTCTCAAAACCACCAGTTTTAGTTGTCATGTGTACCCGATCTATGAAGTTTATATCGCCTTGGATAGTTTAGACCAGTAGTTAAAGGCCACACGTTTCCAGTCTATAGGTACTTCAGGTAACATCGCATGACCGGTCAGACGGTGACTAGGCATGTGTGACACATGTTTGTGCCATGGCTGCATCGTAAACATTGAGTGAGATTCAAACATATCCAGCTGATGAGTTTCAGACGGGAGGAGATTACTATTATTATCATCGTTATTATTATTATTATTTGTTCCTTGGGTTCCTAGTGGAATGTAGGGCTTCACTAGCACGTCTCCACTCCACTCTCTTCTCTACAATCTTCTCAACCTGGTTACACGACTATGCACAAGCTCTTATTTCTTCCTCGCACAATCTCCTCCATCTCACCCTCACCCCGGACGCCCAACTCGTCGCTTCCCATCTGGCTTCCACTCGAGCAATTGACCTAGCGCGTGATGTCCCCAGTCGGCCTTCTCACTGTATACCCAATCCATCTCAACTTCCTTCCACTGCATATTTGTTGGGTGATGGGTTCTCGCCTCGTTGGTTCGTCACCAGCCAGCCAGCCAACCAGAGTTCCTTGTTGCATATTCTCATTATTCTGGCCATCTGATCTCCATCTTCAGTATCGATCCAGCGTAGGCAGTGGTTGTTGATGAATCTCTGTAGTTTGTTGGAAATGCCTTTCGTAACGCGACAAGTCTCTGAACCATGACATAGAAGCACTGACTTGACTGGCATTGGTGTTGAAAATCTGGATGTTGTTCCACATGCTGAGTGCAGTGTGGAAGATCTCCACGCTGATTTCAGGTTGATGAAAGCCTATCTTTCAGTGTTTCCGATCCTGGCTTTGATGTTCTCGTCTGTGTCACCTGAAGTTGCAACGATGTTGCCTAGATAGGTGAAAAAGGCTACTTCCTTTACGTTTCTCCTATTGATGGTGATTGAAGCTTGTTGTTGTTGTTGGTGTTGGTTGGGTATCTTCATCACCTCTGTCTTCTCTATGTTCACTTGAAGTCCCGTCATCACTGTCTCTTCTGACAACTTGTTAGTTTTTGCCTTCAGACATTCAAGTTTGTGTGACGTTAGACATAAGTCACCGGCGAAATCCAAATCTTCTAGGTTCTTTTCCCCGGTCCAGCGTATCCCCATGTTCTCGCTCCCCACTGTTTGTTGCATGATCCAGTCCATCACAATCAGGAATATCATGGGTGATAATAGGCAGCCTTGTTTCACTCCTGTCTTCACTTCAAAAGCATTACTGAGCTTTCCATTGTGAATTACTTTGCATATGGCGTCTTCATATAGTTGCTGAATGAGATTGATAAAGATTTGTGGTATTCTGTAGTATTGAAGCAGCTGCCGGCCAAATTACTTGTTGATCGACGCTATCAAAAGCTTTTTCATAGTCGATGAAGTTGAGGCAGAGGGTTGGCTGCCTTCTATACTCTGTTCTATGATGATGCGAAGCTTTGCTTATCTCTAATTCTGTAACCAGCCACTAAAACTATTGAATGTCTATCGAGTTCATCCATTCTCTAAGATGTATAATTACTCAGAATTTAAAACATACGTAATAGATATCTTGTATTTTCAACATATACTCGACTACAGACAAAACTAAGGCATTTGTACTAATAGTTTATCTAATAAATAATATATGCCCTGTAAATAAATCAACTTCTAGTATCATTCACGTAACGAATATTGTGTATATTACTGTCCACTAGTCAGCCCATTGCTTGTATAAATGTAGTCGAGTATGAACTGTGAATGCAAAATCATGGTCACTGGGGCAAATCAGGTCGGACGCGTGAAGCAAGGATGCTAACCGATAAAGATGGATGATAGTCGAGCTAGATCATAGGAAAATGTGAAGTATTCAACTCTGACCCAATGTATGGATGGCTAACGCACTCGTCTCGAGACCTAAGGTTCCTGAGTTCCATCTCTGACGCGGTTGTAGGTTCGTGCTATCGAAGAGTCCCATACTAGGTAGGATCAAACATCTGTGCAGTCCAACCAGGTTTTCAACGGTACTTCAAGTGAAGTCAGTCCATGATGAATATTACCTCTAAATTATTAATAGAACTTGAACTAACTCACATAATTACAACTACTTCGCACAGTATAATTGCTTGTATTATACCGTCGTTTATTGGACCGAATCGATCGGTATCTATCACCATATGGGCTCCTGTGCAAATGCCTCGATATTGCCTGTGTTGTAATTATATATAGTAATAATGGA